ACATGTTCAAAGAAATGTGTGTATTCCATTGCCCTTAAGGTTATTCCAAAAGAAGAGTTTCAAAGCTGTTTTACATGGTAGTAGTGATGTTGGTGTTCATAGGTATTCTTCCCGTGAACCCATCTTCCTGAAAGGAGGCAATAAGTCTGTGCATTCTGGCCTGTTTTTAATAATCTTACTACTTCATAGTTTCACTTCAACAGAAGAATAGAAAAGTGCCAGAGGAAAATCTCTTGTGCTTCAGAGAAGATGGAAAGGCTAATTATAGCTGAAAATTGGTTGCAGATCTGATGTGGGAGTTAGTTTTTTAAGGGGAAACTTACCTGCACATTATCCATCATTCATCATAAGGTGCTTTGCTGATTAGTAGAAAACAGAGCACCAGATACTAAAATTTGCAAATGTAAAATTTGCAGCAAGAGAATAGAAATTTTTGAGGCAATTCCATTCAATTTGATAGTCATTCAGCCAGTTTTGAGATGAGAAGTCTGATTTGGCATCATTGCTATTCCCCTCACGTATCACTTTCCTATTAGGCAAGGTAAGGAGTGTAAAATGGGAAATGTTTCACTACAGGAAGCATATGTGAAGCAATATTATACGTGCAACTGTTCTCATCTTGGAAATCACTATTTATATATACCTTTCTTAGGTTCTACATTGTCTGTTGGCATCAAACTCTGCTCAAGAGGACCTTTTCAACTGGATCTTTTCAAATCATTTTTTTGTCCTTGGAGAAACCTATGAGAGAAAATTCCCCAGGATAAAAATCATTTTTTTAATTAAAATTGGAAACCCTATATAAGAAAAGTGATAATTTGGGGGTTTATTTTATATTTAAATTTGTAATGTTTGCCACATCTTTTTAAGTGATAAGTGATCTTAAGGAAAGAAAATGAATTACTAAAAGTTCTCTCTAGATTTTAATGTCTTTGCTTGTCCCCATTATGGATATTTGAGTATTAAATATAACTATTCGCTTAGAACTGCGAGTAACATCTGGACTATCCCAACTTTATTGAGCTAGAGGACATTTTTCTCTTGAAAGAAATGTGATTTTATTTTATTTTTATATTTTTTAAGATTTTATTGAGGGAAATTGGGGGACGGGAACAGTATTGGAGAGTTGGGGAAGGGGAACAGACAAGTTGCTGTCCTTTTTGTTCTTCAGTCTAGTTGTGAAGGACGTTGCTTCACTGGCCCATGTTGGTATTGTGATCATTGCACTCTTCTCGACTGAGGCAGATAGGTCGCCGGCCATTGGACAGCTGCCGGCCGCTCACGCTGGCTGCTGGCCACTCACAGTAGCTCACAGCAGCCTACTGCAGCCTCACTACAGCCTACGCCGTCGCCGGCAACTCACGGCAGCCCAGCTCCAGGTCAAGCTGTTGTTCACCATCTTAGCTGTAGAGGGCGCAGCGTCACTAACCCATGTGGGATCCGAACAGACAGCCCTGCTACTTGGAGCTCAAGCTCCCAAACCAACTCGTAACCAATGAGCCAGTTGGCCATCCCAAAATGTGATTTTGTTTTTAACATTTCAAAAAGTATTCAGTGATTCAGTTCACATTTACATCTCTTTGATCTTGCTGGACTTTAAATAGTGGTAGTGTGTGGGATCCAAATGATGGTAGTTTAAAAACCA